TTTGTACATAGACATGTTTTGTGTATGTTTATATTTTGTATCACAACAATGGTATATGGTTTTGTAGCATGACGTATGATTATAATGGATATATGTATATGATGTATGCGTTGTATATGCTTTGAAAGACATATATGTACATGAGGAATTGCAGATATATGTTTGGACTGTGTATGCGAAAGCATGTACATTTAAGGTTTTAAGTTGGTAAGAATGGGCACAGAGTCAAATCATGTTGGAATCCATGGATGGATTCCAAATTTATGAATATGGATATCTGGTTGTTGGACTTTCTTTTTTCAAGAAATACATTAAAGATGTGGATTTTAATCCCTGATTAGTCCAATTACAGTCGTTGTGCTATTCATATGACTCTATCCAAACTAGTACCAGTTATATTTTTGGATAGTTATTTGATCATCAATTTGGTCACATGTATGTTAAGTAAGGAGTTTTGTGCAGGTATGAAACTGTACACTTATAATAATTTGGATAATAATTTACGCAAGGCAATTTACATAGAGGTACAAAAGGGGAAAAAGTCAAGTCACCTAGCTACAAATAACTTTGGTGATACTTTAATTGAAGTCTTCCGCTATATCTTAATCAAGTAAGAGCGTTTAAAATCAGAAATTACGAACTTTTCTCTGATTGGTCTCCGAAAGCTATCATCATGAATTTGAAGGTTATGCCAAGTCCATAAATGCCAGCAAGTTGTAAAGAAAACATCTCTCCAATCAGCTTGGTCTTGATGATTCCAATCCTTACTAATATTCCTGATGAGTCATTCATGTAGGTCTATATTGAAGAAATCATTGGGAACCCTGTTACCAAACCAATCTATCCATAATCTTTTGACTTGGGAACAATCTTGAAGGACATGAATGATAGTTTCTTCACTATAGGGGAAATTAATGCAAATATGTTTCTTCACTATAGGGGAAATTAATGCAAATATTAGGACCACCGTTCCACTTGCATATGTGCGACTCCTAACAGAACTCCCATATGTTTTTGGTTTGGTTTATAATTTTTTGCTCTTAGGAACATGTAATATACGGAGAAGAACATGTTCTCATTAATGACAATATTGTAAATATGAAAATATTCTCATGTCTTTGATTTAGCCATCTCAAATAAAAAATTTCCCATTTTTATACTTCATTTTATCTCTTCTATGTAACTTTCTCAATCAGCTTACACGAAGAAAGAAGGAGAAGAAACCTTTCAACCTTGTCTCAATCACTCAGCAAATCACTACGCACAAGAAGATGCGAGGAAAGGTTGTCCAAAAGGATTTTTTTTTTTTTTTTTTAAATATTCTTTTCTCTTGTGAAACTAAAAAACACAACTAACAGTATTCAAAAAAAAAAAAAAAAAAAAAAAAACACAACTCACAAGGTATTTGGCGTGTGATACAGTTTATGAGGCACTCTCCTAATCTGCAGTCCAAAAAGTGGGTTCCTCGTAATTAGATAGAAAAACTGAAGAGAAAGGGGGTGCACTAGTAAAATTAGTCATGAATCAAATTTCCAAATTATTTTGGGATCCTCTATTTACATAAAAGCATTCTCGTTTATAATGGAGTTCAAACTATGATCTAATTCTGAATGACATTATTCAGTTTATCAATGAGGATACTATAGGAATGGCAAGACTTCGGCGAATTAATTCTTTGTAGTTTTGTCTTTTGTTCTCGGGGGGCTTTGTACCACCCAATATATATATATATATATATATATATATATATATATATATATATATATATATATATATATATATATATGGACTTATCGTTTCTCAAGCTGCTTGAGATAATCTTATCTACGACTACTAAATCATAACCGTACAAAGATGGATCAATGGTGATAAAGGAAGAGAGAGAAAAAGGAAATCATAAACATTCAAAGGTGAATCAATTAATTTAAAGAAAAAATAAATAAAACAATGTAGTTTTGGGATAGCTGGAGATAAACTTATCTCAAACTGCTTGAGAAATATTTTTTCATATATATATATGGGCAGGATATTCTTACACTGGTGTAAGAGTTAGAAGTTTTACACTCAATCTTGACTATTGATCCACTTGTATCTAATGGCTCACATTGCTAAAAAATTTGAACCCTTACATATAAGTGGGATCAACGGACAAGATCGAGAATGTAACTTACACTGGTGTAAAATGATCCTGACCCTATATATATATATATATATATATATATATATATATATATATATATATATATATATATATATATATATATCTTGTCGTTTCTCAAGTTGCTTGAGATAATTTTATCTCCGGTTATTAAATCATAACCGTACAAAGATGGATCAATGGTGATGAAAGAAGAGAGAAAAAGAAAATCATAACCATTCAAAGATGAATCAATTAATATAAGGAAACAAATAAACAAAACAATGTAATTTTGGGGTGGCCGGAGATAAACTTATCTCAAGTTGTCGGAGAAATATTTTTTCCATATATATATATAAGGTAGGATATTCTTACACCGGTGTAAGAGTTAGAAGTCTTACATTCAATCTTGACCATTGATTCACTTGTATCCAGTGGGATCAACGGACGAAATTGAGAGTGTAACTTACACTGATGTAAAATGATCCTGACCTATATATATATATATATATATATATATATAAGAAAAATATTTCTCAAGCAGCTTGAGATATATTTATCTCTGTCCACCCAAAAACTGTTTATTTATTTCCTTATATTAATTGATTCATCTTTGAATGATTATGATTCCTCTTTTATCTCTCTTTCTTATCACCATTATTCCATCTTTGTATAGATATGATTTAGTAACCGGAGATAAAATAATCTCGAACAAATTGAAAAACGATAAACCATATATATATATATGTAGAGAGAAGAAGAAGGTTATACTTACCACCTTTTTTCGTTTACAACCTCTTATAATCACAGCTTAATTGTTGATTTTCGTTAATCTATCAGTTATAATTTATTGAATCACATTTATTAATTCCCAATAGATTATAACCGTCAGATTGACGAAAATCAACAGTTAAGATGCAGTTGTAAGATGTAAACGAAAATATGTGGTAAATATATCATTTCTCATATATATATATATATATATATATATATATATATATATATATATATATATATATATGTATGGGTTTGATTTTTCTGCAGCTGTTTTATGTGCAGCTATGAAAATTTATCCATATATATAGGTTAGAACATTTAATATGAGGAATCATAACCATACAAAAGGTGAAAGTATTAAATGTGAGAATCATAACTATACACCTATTATTGCTGCATGTACAACAATTTTATATATATATATATATATATATGTTAAAAAAGCATTCAACTGATATGTTTGCTGGATATTTAAAAAGTGCCCTTATTAATTGAAAAAGGTTCTTCTCCTGCTTGTATGCCATGCCATTTACATTCTTACAACTAAGTTTTCCATGTTTCAACCACACAAAATATCAAATGTTTAGTAATGAGATGTGAATTCTATCTTGACTCAAAATTCATTTCTCTTTTCTCTTTGTCCTTTTCCTTTAAAATTCTGTCATATATGGAACGTGACAGCTTTCAAATTTTCATGTCAATCATGCAAACAAGATGTTCTTATTCGGTTGGTCGTGTGTAAGTGTGATTTGCAGCCTTATGTTGTTGTGGCCAATTCAGAGACAACTTTCAATAACATTACATTGTAATGTTGCCATAAATTCTGAGTCAGAAAAGAAACTTAACCTCTTTTGATAATTTGTAGTTAGCAAATTAGGTACAACCCTTAAATTATATATATAATTCAACAGTTTTTTTGTTTTCTTAAAAATATTTTCCTCAAAATATATTTAAAATTTTACATATAATTGAAGAAATAGTAAAACAAAGTTAACAAAAATAATTACCAATCAAATGAATTTTTTTTATTTTTTGTTTTTTGTTTTGAAAAAATAAAAAATACCAAGCATATTTTTATGTTTGTGAAAAGAAGAATGGTTGTGAAGAGTTTGCTAGCAAGCTTTTATAGTATTCTTACCATGTGTACTAATTTTGTTCATATTATACATCAAATTGGTTCTACCAGTTGTTAACTTTCATCGCTAATATTTTTTGATTTGGTATTCTCTGCATTTCTCATTCTTTTTTATCCATTTCTTTTAATTTAGTATCTCTTTGCAACTCTATTCAACGAACATCGCGACAACAAGGAATAATTTACATTAACATTAAACTTGACATTTGGAGAGCGCAGAAGTTCTCACATTTAGATATACCTATATACTTTGATTATTATATCTTTTGAAGCTTATAACACGTGAAATGCCTGCTGCGTGCAGTTCATTGGTTCCTGGGAGAATTCAAGTGTGAGCTGAATTCAAAAAAAAAAAAGAGAAGAAATTGTTTGAATGGTGATTGAGGTCACACCTAAGCAGAGCTTTGAAACAATGAGATTAGGAGTAGGCTTATGTCATAAGCTTTAACTACATAGAAAATCACAAGGTAACCTAAGTTTCAAAAATGATAAATGTTACAACAAGTTCAATTGTGAAAAATTTAAATGAAATTGGCATTGGTTTAATATCTTACTATCATGAAGAAATACTAACAACATATTCCAATCACTTAGAAGCATGCAGCTTTGGAAAAAAAAAATTGAAACTTGATTGAAGGTATTACACAAATATGAAATACCCATTATGCACAAAAAGAGTTTAGTAGAGAAATCAAAAACTGAAACTTACATAATTAAAAAACTTTCTTATTTAACTAATATTTTGCAAATGTTCTTATTTAGCAAGATATGCATATTCCAATTGTCTCAATATTTTATTTGTTATTTATATTGTAGTCCACCCAGGTGCTCATCTCTCTTTTTCAAGCCTAAATATTTTTCTCCTGTATTTAATGCCAAGTGTGCACGAAACAGAGTCATGCCTAAACACCATGAGTTTCAATCACATCTCGTGAGTTACTTCTGAGCTGATATAACAATGAAAAGTTTATCCTCAGTTGTTATTTCTACATTTAAAATAACCATAATAAAGGATATTTATGTTACTAGTCTTAAGCATTTGAAACATTATACAAACAGTACTCAACAGCCGTCAACAATGTCTTTTTGTGCACTACATATACTAAACAGTCAACGCTGAGAAAACATGCCTTTTAGACATAAGCAGAAACACCAACATCTACTGACATGCCATGAAGCTGTACTTCGCGAATTACAAAAACAAGTTATTACATATAACAGGAGAGAATAAACTTACCTCCTTCAATATCTCTGGAGGAAATCCAGTTGCATCAAATGTCATCAAAGGGGGAGGAATGTTGTCACCCTGTCCAGTGAAAATTATAATCTGTCCAAAATAGAACATGTCATGCATGCTACATATGTTTTTTGTTGTTGGTAAAATTGGATAAAATTAAATAAAATCTCAAACAATAAAACAATCAGAATCAAGATACCTGTGTATCGACCTTGGAAGGTGAAAACGTCCTTCCCAGTCTTCTAATACTGAAACTACCTCCCCTACCTCAGCTGAGCGCATGACACAATTTCTATTTTGGGTTTAGTAAGAAAGAATTGAGGGTAACTTACTTTGGAGAAATGGGGCTCCAAGAAGGTTGAGGCCAAGAGCGAGAAAAAAAAAGAAGATAAAGATAATTGTTTTTCGTCTCCCTTTTCTTCTTCTTATTTCTTCGCCGATTTGTTTCTTTTGCGAGTTACTGATACTGTAAACAAATGAGGAAGAAGAGGAAATGGAAAAAAAGAAATTGAGAAAAGAAGAGGGAAGTGCGCAACAGACGAGAGCGAAGAGGAAAGAAGAAAAAAAGAATAGAAAGAGGAGTCACGTGACATTTAGACAGGGGATATTAAGACTGTTAGATGTTAGTAAAATCAAGGGTTCAGATTTGGTGTCAAATTTCGAAGTTTGACATTGGTGTCAGTGTCAAAAGACCCTATGCCATATATATATATATATATATATATATATATATATATATATAGAGGTAGGATCCTTTGATACCAGTGTCAAATTTGAAATTTGACACCTCATATGAGAGCCATTAGATAAAAAAAGATCAATGTGTCACATGCTTATATATATAGGTAAAGTCGTTTCTCAAGTTGCTAGACGTCCAGCTAGTAATCCTGATAGTTGATTCGCATTTATTCCCCGCATTTAATGCTTTCATCCACCTATGTATGGTTATCATTCCTAACTGGACATCCAACAACTTGAGAAATGATAACTCCATATATATATATATATATATATATATATATATATATATATATATATATATATATATTATCGTTTCTCATGCCATAAAAGATAAAATTATATATATTAGGATTAATATTTCTTATATTGTTGAAAATAATTTTATCTCCTACACATACACAAAAGTATGTGGGACCCTTTATTTCTTTTATCTTCTCCTCACATGGCCCCACACAATTTTGCGTATGTTCGGAGTGTTTGCGGTTTGAATTGGATCGATTTTGAAGCAAAAATTCTAATCCAATCTTTGCGATTTAATCATTTAATTATCCATTCAGTTTGAATTTTTTTCAAATTTGATCCAATCTAATCCAATTTTATTCAGTTTAGATTGGATCAAATTTTAATTTTTCGAAAAACCTAAAATTTCAGGCATACAAAGTTACAAACCTAAAAAATAAAAAGATGATATAAATTAAAAAATTATACAAGTAGAATAAAGTAAATTACCTATCTCTATCTTTACAAATTCTTCTATAAACTCTTCTACATCATTGGAAAAATGAGTGGACCAGAACCAATCTTAATAAATATGCAAAATAATAAAATAATAAATATATAATACAAATCAGCTTGAATTTGATCTATTTTCACAAACCAAATCGAAAATCGATCCAATCCACTTAAAATATGCATTTTTTTTTATTTACGATTTTTTGGTTATCGACTTTTCGGTTAGGCCACCGCGGTTTGAATTGGTTGATGAACACACCCATTACAATATGAGAAACATTAATCTCATAAATATAATTAGGAATATTTTACACAGGTATAAGTTATATTCTCAATCTTAATTGTTGATCCTATTTTCATCTAACGACTCTGATTTATTATATATGTGAACCATTATACCTAAGCAAATCAATGATCAAAATTTGGTGCAAGACTTCAAGACTTCTTAACCGTACCCCAATATAAAAATAAAATGCTTAAAGTTGATTTTCATAAATCTTAACCGTTGATTTTCATAAATCTAACAGTTATAAGTTGTTAAAAATTAATAATTAATTAATAAAAATAACTTAATCAATATTAACCATAATGGTTAAAACTGAATGTAAGATTTATTATTTAGTATAAGTTGATAGTGTCTTTTATATAATATATATATATATATATATATATATATATATATATATATATATATATATATATTGGTTGTTCTCTTCGAGTCTGCTTGACAAATTTTTTTAAGATAAAATCTAATTTTAATCTCAAGTTAAAAAAAGAGATTAAAGCTAAACATTATTTGGTAATTATATAAAGATATTCTGATGGTTTTGATGGAAAGAAGATAAAATAATTTTTTATTAGGATAGATTATTTAGGGAATTGATAAAATTTATAATTACAAGTTTAACATAAGGGTAAAACTATAAAATAAATAAGGACTCCAAAAAACTAGAATACATCTTAAAAAAAAAAAACTACTTATGAGAACTTTTAACTTTGACCTTTTTTTCTTTATTATAAAAAAAAACTATTTTTATAATACTAGATTTCATGAAATTGTGTATAGTTAAGCAATCAAACATTCCATCCAAGCTTATTTTTTTAGATCACCTTACCATCGTACATAATAACACTCATGGTCAAACAACAAACATTATATTAATAATAATTCTCAAACACACAAAATCAAAGACTACCTATATTCATAAGTTCATTCCTAATATTTATTCTAATATATTAAGGGTCCATTTGGATGAGTTTTTTTTTAAAAAAAATAATTACACTTTGCTTATTTTGTATGGACTTTTTTCAAAAGTTAATGCTATTTTGCATTTGGATGTAGCACATGAAAGAATTTTTGACTAAATATATTACTTGGATGTTAAAATTAAAAAACATTTTTCATCTATAAAATTACTAAAATTGACGTGTGAAAACAAATAATGAGAACAAATTTAGTTGTGGTGAAGGCCATAGTAATGACAGCGGTGGTGGGAACAATGGTGGTATAGGTGGTAGCAACGATGACGTGGTGGTGGCGGCAGCGATAACGGTGGTGGCAAGGTGGTAGCAATGACAATGTGGTGGTGGTGGATGCGGCGACAACAACATTGGTATAGGTGATGATGGAGTGGTAGCGACAATATGGTGGCGGTGACGATGGTAGGGTGGTGGCGACAATGACAATAGTATAGGTGGTGGCAGAGTAGTAGTGATAGTGGTGACAACGATGACGATGTGGTGGTAATGATAGCAGGGTGTTGTGATAATGGTGACGGAAACGAAAGCTGCAGAGGAGATGAAATTGGTTAGGGACTTAGGGTTGGGGTTACGGTGGTAGCAGCAACAGCAACTAGGGGTGTTCGCGGTCTGAATTGGATCGGTTTTGGAAGCAAAACTCATCCAATCCAATCCTTTCGGTTTGATCATATAATCATCCATTCGGTTTGGATATTTTTTCAAATCCGATCCAATCCAATCCAATTTTTTTCGGTTTGGATTGGATCGATTTTCGGTTTTTTGAAAATCCTAAAATTTATTTCATGATTGTTGTGCAAATAACATCTTTTGTATATATTGTATATATTGGCTTTGTAATTTTTTATTTTTTTTTTGAAATACAAAAGCATTAGTAAACTATAATATAGTTTTTTTTTTTTTTTTTTGGCAATGAGATATGAAGTTCTATAAAGATAAAATTGTGTTAATAAGATATGACTAGATTTTCTCTTGGGTTTAGTTGATGGGTTAATGGGTCTTGGATTTACAAATTTTTAGGCTATGATTAGGGAAAGACCCAAGTAGGTAGAGGAAAATTAATATATTGGATCGGTTTTCATCAACCAATCCAAAAACCGATCCAATCCAATTAAAATTTACGGGTTTTTTTCGGTTTTCGATTTTTGGTTTATTCGATTATCGGTTTTTCGGTTCGGTTACCGCGGTTTGAATCGGTTTGGATCGGTTGATGAACACCCTTAACAGCAACAGCGACAAGGGCAATGGTGGAGGTGGTGGTGACAATGGCAACGATGAGATTGGATCAGGCATGGGTAAATTTGAATTTCGGAAAAAAAAAAATTAACTTTTGACTTCTAGAAGCTAGAAATTTTAGCTTCAATAAAGAATAGATTTTTGACTTTTTTTTATGACTTCTCTCTTTTTTAAAAATAGACATCCAAACACTAGTTTATAACGAGAATGACTTTTTGTCTTTAAAAAAAGTAACTTTTGGAAGAAGAAAAAAAGTCAATCCAAACAAACTACAAAATATAAACAGATTCATTACATTCTACATTCTTGTTTTCTATACTTGCCCTCAAACTCGATCAATATGGCTCTCAAAATCCTTAAAGACTTCATGTTTTTCAAGATATAGGTAAATCATTATGGCACAAGAATTCTTTGCAATACAAATCATTCTTTGTAACAACGGGTAATATGCATGCTCTCAAAATCCTTAAAAACTTATTATTTTTCAGGATATTGGTAAACCATGATATAGACTTGATTAATAAGGGCATGTTTGTATTCACTTTTTAAAAAAGTACTTTTTATAAAAGCTACAACTATTTAGATTTTTAGAAAAATATCTGATTTTTGAAAAAAAATATTTGGCTTTTGACTTTGGCTTTTTTTAGAAGCTAAAATTTTTAGCCTTCGAAAAAAGTAAGTTTTTGACTTTTTTTATGACTTCTGCTTTTTTTAAAAGCAGGCATACAAATAGACTTTTTTCGAGAAGTGCTTTTTTTTCTTAAAAAAAGCAGCTTTTGAAGGAAAAAAAGCTCATCCAAACGGGCTCTATGTTCAGACTTGTTTGAATTGATTGGAAATGAAAATAAACGTGAATTGATAGATGTAAGTAGAATTAAGGGTTAATAATGAGTATTAAAGTTCTTATTCCTACATTGGTATAAGTTGAAACATGTTTAATATTTTTCTTATTCATCATACAATCACATAAGCCTATAGCCAAATACCAAGAAATTAAAACAAACAAACCAATAACTAATCCATTACTACACCCTATTCAACTTTTTAGTTAATAATAAAAATAATATTTTTCAACCTTTCCACCCTCTAGTCTTAAACTGCATTCTCCATGGAACATACGCCAA